TACATCTATCACTACGGCCTTCTTCTGTTTGTCCACCACTACTATGTCCAGTTGGTTGGTCATTACCAGTTTGTCAGTTTGTATCTGGAAGTCCCACAGGATCTTAGCTTGGTCATTCTCAACCACCTTTGGAGGTGTATCCCATTTTGACTTGGGGCCTTCCAGCCTGTACTCAGCACAGATGTTTCTGCACACTATGACAGCCACTTCATTATGGCATTCCATGTATGCCCTGTCTGCTAGCATCTTGCACCCCGCTGTTATGTGCTGGATTGTCTCAGGGGAATCTTTGCACAGCCTGCACCTGGGGTCCTGTCTGGTATGGTAGACCCCAGGCCTCTATTGATCTTCTTCTTAGAGCATGTTCTTGTGCTGCCAGGATTAGTGCCTCTGTGGCGTCTTTCAGTCCAGCTTTGTCTATCCACTGGTAGGACTTTTTCAATATCAGCCACTTCTTCTATTTGACGGTGGTGCAGAGGTTTGTCCTTCCATGAGGGTTCCTGCTCTTCCTTCCCTTGTTCCTCTGGTTTCTGCTGCCTGAGGTATTCACTAAGCACGTCATCACTCGGGGCCATCTTCCTGATGTATTCATGGATCTTTGTTGTTTCATCCTGGACAGTGGCTCTGACACTCACTAATCCTTGGCCTCCTTACTTCCGCTTAGGGTACAGTCTCAGGATACTGGACTTGGGGTGAAAGCCGCCGTGCATTGTAAGGGGCTTCCTTGTCTTGATGTCAGTGGCCTCTATCTCCTCCTTTGGCCAGCTTATTATGCCAGCGAGGTACCTGATACATATACACATATATATATATATTTATACAAGGTTTCACAGTCAGTGGTGTATGTCAGAGTGAAAACAGTCATGAGGTTGAGAGAACTGTCCACAGACCTGACAGGACTGTATCAAGACAGATCTGGGGAAGGACACAAGAACATTTCTGCAGCATTAAAAGTGCCCGAGAGCATGGTAGCCACCATCATTCTCAAAAGGAAGAGATCTGGAACCGCCATCTACATAGATCTGGCCGCCCAGCCAGACTGACTAATTGGGGACAAAAGGCCTCAGTCAGACAGGTAACCAAGAAACCAAGGATCACTATGAATGAGATTTAGAGCTCCTTTCTGGAGATGGGAGAACCTTATAAAAAGACAACCATCAATGCCAAAAATCATCTTGTCTGGTGAAACAAAGATTGAACTATTTGGCCACAATTCCCAACAGTGTGTGTGGAGAAAGCCAGGCACTGAGCATCACCTCACCAATACCATCCCTACAGTCAAACACGGTGGTGGCAGCATCAGGCTCTGGGGAGCATTTTTTTCTTTGCAAATGAGAGACTAGTCAGGATAGAGGGAAGGGTGAATGCAGGAAAATATAGAGTAATCTTGAGTGTAAAGCATCTCCAGAGGGCCCAGAATCTCAGGCCGGGGCAAAGGTTTACACTTCAACAAAACAAAAATATTTATTGACCTAAAAAAAGCATTTGACACAATCAATCATGAGCTATTAATGGACAAGTTAGAAAAATATGGGACCAGAGGAATGGTTTTGAATTGGATTAGAAGTTATTTGACACAGAGGCATCAATTTGTGAAGTTGGGTGAATACCAATTGAGTGAGCTGGACATTATATGTAGAGTTCCTCAGGGTTCTGTTTTGGGACCTAAACTATTTATATTATACATTAATGATATATGCAAGGTTTCTGATTTAGTGAAAGTGGTTTTGTTTGCTGATGACACTACCATATGGGCATCGGGTGAAAACCTACAGCAACTCTCTGGACAGGTTACACAGGAACTTGAGAAGATAAAGAAATGGTGTGACAGTAATATACTATCTCTGAATTTGGATAAAACTAAATTTATGGTATTTGGGAATCGTAGACTAGATAATGAACTTCAATTGAAAATTGGGGGAGCTAATATAGAACGAGTATATGAAATTAAATTTCTAGGTGTCATAGTTGATGACAAATTCTCCTGGAAATCTCATATCAGATATGTTCAGAACAAAATAGCAAAAAATATATCGATATTGGCAAGGATTAGATATATTTTGGATGGGAAAGCACTACGCATTTTGTATTCTTCATTGATTTTACCATACTTAGAGTATGGCGTTGAAAACTGGGGAAATACATACAAAAGCTCACTTCAACCATTATATATATTACAAAAAAGAGCGATAAGAATTGTGCATAAGATGGGATATAGGGATCACACCAATGTAGCTTTCATACAGTCTAAATTGTTAACATTTTTTGATTTAGTGGGAT